GAGGAGGGCTGAAATGCCCTGAGGAGGAAGCGAGGGGGAGGAGGGCTGGACTGCCCTGAGGAGGAGGAAGCAAGGGGGAGGAGGGCTGGAATGCCCTGAGGAGGAAGCGAGGGGGGAGGAGGGCTGAGGTGCACCGAGGAGGAGGAAGCGAGGGGGGCGGAGGGCTGGAATGCCCTGAGGTGGAGGAAGCGAGGGGGAGGAGGGCTGAAATGCCCTGAGGAGGAAGCGAGGGGGAGGAGGGCTGGAATGCCCTGAGGAGGAGGAAGCGACGGGGAGGAGGGCTGAAATGGCCTGAGGAGGAGGAAGCGAGGGGGGAGGAGGGCTGAAATGCCCTGAGGAGGAAGCAAGGGGGAGGAGGGCTGGACTGCCCTGAGTAGGAGGAAGCAAGGGGGAGGAGGGCTGGAATGCCCTGAGGAGGAGGAAGCGAGGGGGAGGAGGGCTGAAATGCCTTGAGGAGGAAGTGAGGGGGGAGGAGGGCTGGAATGCCGTGAGGAGGAAGCGAGGGGGAGGAGGGCTGAAGTGCCCTAAGGGGGAGACAGCGAGGGGGAGGAGGGCTGGAATGCCCTGAGGAGGAGGAAGCGAGGGGGAGGAGGGCTGAAATGCTCTGAGGAGGAGGAAGTGAGGGGTGAGGAGGGCTGGAATGCCCTGAGGAGGAAGCAAGAGGGAATAGGGCTGAAGTGCCCTGAGGAGGAGGAAGCGAGGGGGGAGGAGGGCTGAAGTGCCCTGAGGAGGAGGAAGCGAGGGGGAGGAGGGCTGAAATGCCTTGAGGAGGAGGAAGTGAGGGGGGAGGAGGGCTGGAATGCCCTGAGGAGGAAGCGAGGGGGAGGAGGGCTGAAGTGCCCTGAGGGGGAGGAAGCGAGGGGGAGGAGGGCTGGAATGCCCTGAGGAGGAAGCAAGAGGGAATAGGGCTGAAGTGCACTGAGGAGGAGGAAGCGAGGGGGGAGGAGGGCTGAAGTGCCCTGAGGAGGAGGAAGCGAGGGGGAGGAGGGCTGAAATGCCTTGAGGAGGAGGAAGTGAGGGGCGAGGAGGGCTGGAATGCCCTGAGGAGGAAGCGAGGGGGAGGAGTGCTGAAGTGCCCTGAGGGGAAGCGAGGGGGAGGAGGGCTGAAATGCTCTGAGGAGGAGGAAGTGAGGGGGGAGGAGGGCTGGAATGCCCTGAGGAGGAAGCAAGAGGGAATAGGGCTGAAGTGCCCTGAGGAGGAGGAAGTGAGGGAGGAGGAGGGCTGAAATGCCCTGAGGAGGAGGAAGCGAGGGGGAGGAGGGCTGGAATGCCCTGAGGAAGAGGAAGCGAGGGGGGAGGGCTGGAATGCCCGAGGAGGAGGAAGCGAGGAGGAGGAGGGCTGGAATGCCCTGAGGAGGAGGAAGCGAGGGGGGAAGAGGGCTGAAATGCCCTGAGGAGGAGGAAGCGAGGGGGAGGAGGCCTGGAATGCCCTGAGGAGGAGGAAGCGAGGGGGGAGGAGGGCTGGAATGCCCTGAGGAGGAGGAAGCGAGGGGGGAGGGCTGGAATGCTCGAGGAGGAGGAAGCGAGGAGGAGGAGGGCTGGAATGCCCTGAGGAGGAGGACGCGAGGGGGGGAGGAGGGCTGGAATGCCCTGAGGAGGAGGAAGCGAGGGGGAGGAGGGCTGGAATGCCCTGAGGAGGAGGAAGCGAGGGGGGAGGAGGGCTGGAGTGCCCTGAGGAGGAGGAAGCGAGGGGGGAGGAGGGCTGAAGTGCCCTGAGGAGGAGGAAGCGAGGGGAGAGAAGGCCTGGAGGGCTTAAGGAGGAGAGCGGGGAGAGGAGGAGGCGGTGGGAGTGTGGTGTGAGTTGGCGGCAGCTAATAGTTGTGGCTGCGAAGGTGAGAGCGGCGACGACGTCGTCGTAAGGGTCGCGGCAGCAGCAGGCGGCGACGATGGTACATCGCGACGGCGTGAGGCCGCGACATGAGGCCGCGGCGGCTATGTAAGGGTGTGGTGGTAGCAGCTGCGGCAAGAGGCGACGAAAGCAGGTTGCGTGGGCGGCGGATTAGGTCACGACGAGCGCCCGCGTTCGTCGTGGCAGTGGCGCCCGTCTGCGATTTAGGTCACGAGGGTCAAGGTGGCCGTTCCGACGGTCGCGCTAGCCGTTCCGACGGTTGGCGCGTTCGTGGGAGGGAGGGGAGGGCCGTGAGAGGCGGAATTGACCGTAGGAAGGGGGGAGGGGCGCTGGAACTTTAGCGCAAGGGTAGGGGGGTCATGACGGCGTAGGAGCGCAATAGGCGCAAAGAGCGACGTAGCGTCACGTAAGGGAGGGGGGCGTGATGCGGCACGCGGAAGGTGCGGACCTAAGGATCAAGATGTTGTGAGCCGTAGTTGCTCTGATTACCATGTGAGAAACTGAAGTGTTGGTATATTGATAAAGAAGTGCAGTACAAATAGGGAATGGGGTGAGTGACCAAAGTTAGGGTTACCCCACACCATTATTGGCTAACCAATGTGGTGGGGGTGCAGCCGAATAATTGAGGTTGAGCCAATTATTGGAGGAGCCAAACATTGGAGGGTTGGCCACCAATGTTGGCTCCCCAACAATAATGGTCGCTTGGGTTGTGGGAACCCAACCAGAAGTTGGGAGAACCCCTGAATGCGTACACCCATGATTCGGGTGTACACTGTTAGGTCTACCCAAATGCATGCTATAATCTAACAGGGCAATGGGGTGAGGCAGGTCAATGGGGTGAGGCAGGTCAATGGGGTGAGGCAGGTAAATGGGGTGAGGCAGGTCAATGGGGTGAGGCAGATCAATGGGGTGACGCAGGTCAATGGCATGGGGTGAGGCAGGTCAATGGGGTGAGGCAGGTCAATGGGGTGAGGCAGGTAAATGGGGTGAGGAAGGTCAATGGGGTGAGGCAGGGCAATGGGGTGAGGCAGTTCAATGGGGTGAGGCAGGTCAATGGGGTGAGGCAGGTCAATGGGGTGAGGCAGGTCAATGGGGTGAGGCAGGTCAATGGGGTGAGGTAGGTCAATGGGGTGAGGCAGGTCAATGGGGTGAGGCAGGTCAATGGGGTGAGGCAGGGCAATGGGGTGAGGCAGGTCAATGGGGTGAGGCAGGTCAATGGGGTGAGGCAGGGCAATGGGGTGAGGCAGGTCAATGGGGTGAGGCAGGGCAATGGGGTGAGGCAGATCAATGGGGTGAGGCAGGGCAATGGGGTGAGGCAGGTCAATGGGGTGAGGCAGGTCAATGGGGTGAGGCAGGGCAATGGGGTGAGGCAGGTCAATGGGGTGAGGCAGGTCAATGGGGTGAGGCAGGTCAATGGGGTGAGGCAGGGCAATGGGGTGAGGCAGGTCAATGGGGTGAGGCAAGTCAATGGGGTGAGGCAGGTCAATGGGGTGAGGCAGGTCAATGGGGTGAGGCAGGGCAATGGGGTGAGGCAGGTCAATGGGGTGAGGCAAGTCAATGGGGTGAGGCAGGTCAATGGGGTGAGGCAGGTCAATGGAGTGAGGCAGGTCAATGGGGTGAGGCAGGTCAATGGGGTGAGGCAAGTCAATGGGGTGAGGCAGGTCAATGGGGTGAGGCAGGGCAATGGGGTGAGGCAGGTCAATGGGGTGAGGCAGGTCAATGGGGTGAGGCAGGGCAATGGGGTGAGGCAGGTCAATGGGGTGAGGCAAGTCAATGGGGTGAGGCAGGTCAATGGGGTGAGGCAGGTCAATGGGGTGAGGCAGGGCAATGGGGTGAGGCAGGTCAATGGGGTGAGGCAAGTCAATGGGGTGAGGCAGGTCAATGGGGTGAGGCAGGTCAATGGAGTGAGGCAGGTCAATGGGGTGAGGCAGGTCAATGGGGTGAGGCAAGTCAATGGGGTGAGGCAGGTCAATGGGGTGAGGCAAGTCAATGGGGTGAGGCAGGGCAATGGGGTGAGGCAGGTCAATGGGGTGAGGCAAGTCAATGGGGTGAGGCAGGTCAATGGGGTGAGGCAGGGCAATGGGGTGAGGCAGGTCAATGGGGTGAGGCAGGTCAATGGGGTGAAAAAGGTCAATGGGGTGAGGCAGGTCAATGGGGTGAGGCAGGGCAATGGGGTGAGGCAGGTCAATGGGGTGAGGCAGGGCAATGGGGTGAGGCAGGTCAATGGGGTGAGGCAAGTCAATGGGGTGAGGCAGGGCAATGGGGTGAGGCAGGTCAATGGGGTGAGGCAGGTCAATGGGGTGAGGAAGGGCAATGGGGTGAGGCAGGTCAATGGGGTGAGGCAGGTCAATGGGGTGAGGCAGGTCAATGGGGTGAGGCAGATCAATGGGGTGAGGCAGGGCAATGGGGTGAGGCAGGTCAATGGGGTGAGGTAGGTCAATGGGGTGAGGCAGGGCAATGGGGTGAGGCAGGTCAATGGGGTGAGGTAGGTCAATGGGGTGAGGCAGGTCAATGGGGTGAGGCAGGTCAATGGGGTGAGGCAGGTCAATGGGGTGAGGCAGGTCAATGGGGTGAGGCAGGTCAATGGGGTGAGGTAGGTCAATGGGGTGAGGCAGGGCAATGGGGTGAGGTAGGTCAATGGGGTGAGGCAGGTCAATGGGGTGAGGCAGGTCAATGGGGTGAGGCAGGTCAATGGGGTGAGGCAGGTCAATGGGGTGAGGAAGGTCAATGGGGTGAGGCAGGGCAATGGGGTGAGGCAGGTCAATGGGGTGAGGCAGGGCAATGGGGTGAGGCAGGTCAATGGGGTGAGGCAGGTCAATGGGGTGAGGCAGGTCAATGGGGTGAGGCAGATCAATGGGGTGACGCAGGTCAATGGCATGGGGTGACGCAGGTCAATGGGGTGAGGTAGGTCAATGGGGTGAGGCAGGTCAATGGGGTGAGGCAGGTCAATGGGGTGAGGCAGGTCAATGGGGTGAGGCAGGTCAATGGGGTGAGGCAGATCAATGGGGTGACGCAGGTCAATGGCATGGGGTGAGGCAGGTCAATGGGGTGAGGCAGATCAATGGGGTGACGCAGGTCAATGGGGTGAGGCAGGTCAATGGGGTGAGGCAGGTCAATGGGGTGAGGCAGATCAATGGGGTGACGCAGGTCAATGGCATGGGGTGACGCAGGTCAATGGGGTGAGGTAGGTCAATGGGGTGAGGCAGGTCAATGGGGTGAGGCAGGTCAATGGGGTGAGGCAGGTCAATGGGGTGAGGCAGGTCAATGGGGTGAGGCAGGTCAATGGGGTGAGGCAGATCAATGGGGTGAGGCAGGGCAATGGGGTGAGGCAGGTCAATGGGGTGAGGCAGATCAATGGGGTGAGGCAGGTCAATGGGGTGAGGCAGGTCAATGGGGTGAGGCAGGGCAATGGGGTGAGGCAGGTCAATGGGGTGAGGCAGGTCAATGGGGTGAGGCAGGGCAATGGGGTGAGGCAGGTCAATGGGGTGAGGCAGGTCAATGGGGTGAGGTAGGTCAATGGGGTGAGGCAGGGCAATGGGGTGAGGTAGGTCAATGGGGTGAGGCAGGTCAATGGGGTGAGGCAGGTCAATGGGGTGAGGCAGGTCAATGGGGTGAGGCAGGTCAATGGGGTGAGGAAGGTCAATGGGGTGAGGCAGGGCAATGGGGTGAGGCAGGTCAATGGGGTGAGGCAGGGCAATGGGGTGAGGCAGGTCAATGGGGTGAGGCAGGTCAATGGGGTGAGGCAGATCAATGGGGTGACGCAGGTCAATGGCATGGGGTGAGGCAGGTCAATGGGGTGAGGCAGATCAATGGGGTGACGCAGGTCAATGGGGTGAGGCAGGTCAATGGGGTGAGGCAGGTCAATGGGGTGAGGCAGATCAATGGGGTGACGCAGGTCAATGGCATGGGGTGACGCAGGTCAATGGGGTGAGGTAGGTCAATGGGGTGAGGCAGGTCAATGGGGTGAGGCAGGTCAATGGGGTGAGGCAGGTCAATGGGGTGAGGCAGGTCAATGGGGTGAGGCAGGTCAATGGGGTGAGGCAGATCAATGGGGTGAGGCAGGGCAATGGGGTGAGGCAGGTCAATGGGGTGAGGCAGATCAATGGGGTGACGCAGGTCAATGGCATGGGGTGAGGCAGGTCAATGGGGTGAGGCAGGTCAATGGGGTGAGGCAGGTCAATGGGGTGAGGCAGGTCAATGGGGTGAGGCAGGTCAATGGGGTGAGGCAGGGCAATGGGGTGAGGCAGGTCAATGGGGTGAGGCAGGTCAATGGGGTGAGGCAGGTCAATGGGGTGAGGCAGGGCAATGGGGTGAGGCAGGTCAATGGGGTGAGGCAGGTCAATGGGGTGAGGCAGGGCAATGGGGTGAGGCAGGTCAATGGGGTGAGGCAGGTCAATGGGGTGAGGCAGGTCAATGGGGTGAGGCAGATCAATGGGGTGAGGCAGATCAATGGGGTGACGCAGGTCAATGGCATGGGGTGAGGCAGGTCAATGGGGTGAGGCAGGTCAATGGGGTGAGGCAGGGCAATGGTGTGAGGCAGGTCAATGGGGTGAGGCAGATCAATGGGGTGAGGCAGATCAATGGGGTGACGCAGGTCAATGGCATGGGGTGAGGCAGGTCAATGGGGTGAGGCAGGTCAATGGGGTGAGGCAGATCAATGGGGTGAGGCAGATCAATGGGGTGAGGCAGGTCAATGGGGTGAGGCAGATCAATGGGGTGAGGCAGATCAATGGGGTGACGCAGGTCAATGGCATGGGGTGAGGCAGGTCAATGGGGTGAGGCAGGTCAATGGGGTGAGGCAGGTCAATGGGGTGAGGCAGATCAATGGGGTGAGGCAGGTCAATGGGGTGAGGCAGGTCAATGGGGTGAGGCAGGTCAATGGGGTGAGGCAGGTCAATGGGGTGAGGCAGGTCAATGGGGTGAGGCAGGTCAATGGGGTGAGGCAGGTCAATGGGGTGAGGCAGGTCAATGGGGTGAGGCAGGTCAATGGGGTGAGGCAGGTCAATGGGGTGAGGCAGGTCAATGGGGTGAGGCAGGTCAATGGGGTGAGGCAGGTCAATGGGGTGAGGCAGGTCAATGGGGTGAGGCAGGTCAATGGGGTGAGGCAGGTCAATGGGGTGAGGCAGGTCAATGGGGTGAGGCAGGTCAATGGGGTGAGGCAGGTCAATGGGGTGAGGCAGGGCAATGGGGTGAGGCAGGTCAATGGGGTGAGGCATATCAATGGGGTGAGGCAGGTCAATGGGGTGAGGCAGATCAATGGGGTGACGCAGGTCAATGGCATGGGGTGAGGCAGGTCAATGGGGTGAGGCAGGTCAATGGGGTGAGGCAGGTCAATGGGGTGAGGCAGATCAATGGGGTGAGGCAGGTCAATGGGGTGAGGCAGAGAAGAATGCACAGGAAACAAAAGGTGAGTAGAGAAAGCAAGGAAGAAGGCAGCAAGACAATAGGAAAGAAGAAGCAGCAGACCCATCCCCGGGTCAGAAGGTGCAGTGCATGCAAGCAAAGCAATTCAGGAAGCAAGGAAAACAGAGCGTTGGCACGGATCATCCCGACCGCACTGCCATGCCCCATCCCCCTGCCATGCTCCACCCCCCTGCCACGCCCAACCCCCTGCCACAACATGCCCCACCCCCCTGCCCTATCCCCCTCCCCCTGGGTGGGCGCACCACGGAGAGCACGGGTGTGCGGTGGAGGCCCAGGAGGATGGCGCAGCACACGCCGCTGCCCACGTGCCACACCCACACCGACGTGTCCTGTCGCGCCGTGCAGGGCTCGCATGGGGGGCAGAAGCAGTATGGCGATCAGGGATGCAGGCGAGAAGGGGTGTTGGTGAAACGGAATCGAGGAGAGTAGCATGGAGGGGGGGCGATTGGAAAAGGGGTTGCTATAGAGGGAGGTGGAGCGTGAGCAATGAAAGGTGGTGAGAGGCGACAGGCATGTGAGCAGGAAATCGGATGGCGGGAGGGGGGGAGTGAAGGAGAGTGGTACCTGCCGTGTGAACATGAGTCGTGTTAAGAAGCTGATGTTGACTGTGGGGGAGTGAGGTTGTGAATGTGGGGGAGTGAGGTTGTGAGTGTGAGGCAGTGAGGTTGAGTGTGAGGCAGTGAGGTTGAGTGTGAGGCAGTGAGGTTGAGTGTGAGGCAGTGAGGTTGAGTGTGAGGCAGTGAGGTTGAGTGTGAGGCAGTGAGGTTGAGTGTGAGGCATTGAGGTTGAGTGTGAGGCAGTGAGGTTGAGTGTGAGGCAGTGAGGTTGAGTGTGAGGCGGTGAGGTTGAAACGTGCGTGACTCACTTTGCTGGCAGAGAGGAGAATGGACGGCTGAGATGGATGCGCACAGAGATCCGTGATGGCACCCCCCTGCCCCATCAGCGTCTGCATGACAGGCCGATAAAAGATGGAGCAAGATGGCATGGATGGCATGGATGGCATGGATGGCATGGATGGCATGGATGGCATGGATGGCATGGATGGCATGGATGGCATGGATGGCATGGATGGCATGGGATGTCATGGGATGTCATGGGATGGCATGAGATGGCATGGGATGGCATGAGATGGCATGGGATGGCATGGGATGGCATGAGATGGCATGGGATAGCATGAGAGAGCAAGACATGTATTCACATTCAAATGACTGACCAGCATGCATGCAATCCATGCGGCACCGCTGGCACACCTTGAAGGGGCGGCGCGAGTGGAAGTCAACGATGCGCACAACACCCAGCTCGCCGCCCGCCGCCACGAGCACTCGCTCCTCCGCATCCACCATCCATGCCACCGCTGCATAGCTCTCCACCCCCCTCGCCTGGATTCGCATGTGAGAACGTGAGCAGAGAGGCAAGCAAGCAAGTGAGCAGAGAGGCAAGAACGAAAGTGTGCAGAGGAAAGCTAGTGTGTGAGCCGAGAGCAGTAGAAGGGCACTTGAGCAGGGGCAAGCCAAGCCGTCCCTTGCGCAGCAACTCGATTCGAGCGAAAGCACTTCAGTCGCTGCACACCAGCTACTTGGGCCATGTGTGCTCTGACCACCTCACCTGCTGATAAGGTGACTGCTGTTACCACCTGGAGTGCCATTCATTTAGGTACCTGGTTACCACATGTTACATCAGCTGTGGGTGCTTCAGGGCTGTCCGCGCTAGGCTCGCTCGCCCCTGTGCTGGGCGGGGTTGCGCCCAGCGGGTGTGCCGCTTCCCCGCCAGCCCTTTCCTGCCCACGGGTGGTGTGGCAGGCACGGCGCAGAGGTTGGGTTTTGAGCAACAAGGGATATCACCCTAGCCGCACGTCAGCCACTAGTTGCCAAGTACGTAAGCACCATGCTGGGTGGGTGTGCTTGGCTATGTGCACTCACGGTGGGATGGAAGAAGGTGTGTGTGTACGCAAAAGAACCATCACCCATGCACTCCAACAGCATGATCTGGGGGGGGGGGGGGGGGGGGGGGGGGGGAGGGGGGGGGAGGCAGGCACACAGCAGGGAGTCAAGTTGAGAATGAGGCACTCGCAATGAAGCGGTTCTGGATCATGCGTTGAAAGAAACGGAGGAGAGAAACAATTCACCATGCAGGGCGGTTCACCATGCAGGGCGGTTCACCATGCAGGGCGGTTCACCATGCAGGGCGGTTCACCATGCAGGGCGGTTCACCATGTTTGCAGAGACGCATGCGAGGTGGTTGCTGTAACGCGGATGCCACGTGTTGAACGCCATGGCGGATGGCACGCTACCATCGTCGTCCCACAGGAACGGTGCCTGCAGGGGTGCGGGGCAGCATGAGGGAGCAACCTGCTTGGCACACATGCATGGCATGTGAACAAAAGAATGAAAAGAGATTCGGCAGAGAGCATTGCAACAGGGAGCAATGCAAGGTCCTTGATTCTTTCCGATAACATCTACCAGCACACGCAAGGGAAAATGCTAGCAGCGCCGCAAAAAGGAACCCCCGACGCACTCGAAGTGTGGCTTGCGGCGGCTGCCAGGCCGCCCCTGCCGCTGCCATGCGCCGCTGCTGGCTCGCTGTGAAATGCGCAGACACGCGAGAGGCCGGGCGCGGCGTGAGAGGTGCGGCAGGCGGGAGACGCGCGACGAGCCGGCGAGATACAGCCCGCGCTCGCTAGCCCGCTGTGCGAGTCGCTCGCTAGCCCGCTGTGCGAGTCGCTCGCTAGCCCGCTGTGCGAGTCGCCGACACGCGCAATGCAATATCACGGCATGAGGCGCGGTGAGGTGAGGGAGAAACGGATACTGCGGGAAGAGGGATGACGGGGAAGGAGAGGGGAGGGGCGGGATGGAGGGAGTTGGACGCAGTTGGCAGTGGAGCTGGCAACGGCGATGGTGCTTCAACGCTTTTACCTCGGGTTTCGCGATCCGGAATGAAACAACTGCTATCCAGACCCCACACGTTTCGCCTTCTGGGAGCAAGAGTGAGCGACAGAAGTCCCAAGTCGCTCGGAATAACCTAGCGATGGCGTCAAACTCCTGACCAATAATCCCAATTAGGGGTATCTTCAATCTTCTCCAACTTGCTGTATGAGAACACATATTTTGAAAATGAGACCGTTGGGAAAAATGCATGGCATACCCGTTTTAGGACTCGATACCCGAGCTGGAGAGTGAACTTTAATAGCCGAAGCATAAAACCAGTAATATAGGGACGCGTGACGTCATCAATGCTGCCCCCCGCCCCCTGGCACATTCGGAAATTGGGGGCAATCCGAAAAACCCTCCGAATCCCTCGGGTCACCCCGAAACTCCCGCCTGACCAGGCGAAAAATCCTTCCAAAAAACCCTCCGAATCCCTCCGTCTCAATGTCGTATTCTTACGCGCATATATATGTCAGCCGTACTGTTGCAATTTCGGGACATTGATCGAGCACTGCTCGACGGGCATTGGCCAATCGCCGTCGAGCACTGTGCACCCCCGACAAGACGGGTGACAGCGCCAGACGTCGCCATCGACGTCGCCGGACAGGCCGCGCTGTCGGCCGAAGTGAGTAGTAACGGGTCTCGCAATCGGCCAACGGTCACAATCGACGGCGCCTTCAACTGCGGTCGACCGACCGCTTCGACGGTCGAGCGCGACGTCGCTGTCGGACGGGCGACGGGTTACGTAAGTCGCCATCAAAGGGGTCATGTCAACAGATGACGGCCACGTCAAAGGCCAAGGCCTTGAGGACACCTGTAAAGGAAGGGTTATCAGCCCAACAATGGTTTCAATGAAATCATGAACTGGGAGCAGCAGTAACATCGTTTTTCTCAGTTAGTCCAGCGCTACGGCAACGAGAGCTTTCGGGTAGGCACTGATGGAGAACGATCCATCGAGGACAACGCCTTTCTGGCAGGCAGCGGTAGGACCGCTACTTGTCGACGTTGAAACCATCTCGACGCAACCCCCTAGGACGTCACAAGCCATACCAGACTCGACACCGCCACCCTCGACGTCACGAGCCATACCGGGCTCGACAGCTCCACAATCAACGTCACAAGCCATACCAGTATCAACAGCGCCACCCTCGACGACACGAGCCATACCGGTAGTGGTTCAGCCGGTTGCGACGGATCAACGCTCGACGGAAAGTGCCGTCAATGTCGAAGTGGGGGGTGTCAGATATATATGACCTAGCCTATGTAGGTTGTAGTGGGGTAGACACTAAGGGGTACAGGTTTCATATTTGTATCCCACACTTTCCTAGTCCATTTCATTCCTCTTTCTTCACATGGTATAGAGCGGGTTCCCTAGTGGGACCGTTTCTTCCTAAGGGCCCACCATTTTTTTTTTTTTTCCTAACCTGCCCGAAGCGCGCTTAGCGCTCTGCCCTGCCCTACCCTTTCGCGGCCCCTTAGCGGCCTGCCCTGCTCCTGAGGCCCGTCGCGGCCCCCCGTTGCGGCCCCTTCGCGGCCCCCCACTTAGCGGCCCCTTCGCGGCCCCTTAGCGGCCCCTTCGCGGCCCCTTAGCGGCCCCTTCGCGGCCCCTTCGCGACCCCGCCCCGTCGCACGTAGCGGCCCCGTCCCGTCGCCGGTCGCGGCCCCGCCCCGTCGCCACCCGGGTGTCGCCCCTGCCTCGTCGCGACGCCCCTGCGGGACCCGCACGGCGTCGCCCCTGCCCACAGCGGCTCTAAGCCGCCCCGTCGTCGCCACCCTTGCTGTCGCCGTGGCGGCCCTGCCGCCCCGTCGCCACTGTCCCTGCAGCAGCTGCCGTCGCCCCTGCTGCCGCTGCCGAGCCTGCAGCCGCCCTGCCGACGCGCCTATCCCGGCTCTGACCTGCCGCCTCGCCGCGCCCCCCCCCCCCTTCCTTGTGGCGGCCCCCTGCTCTGCTGACGCGCCCCGGCCCAGCCCCACCAGTAGCGGCTCACCTCTTCCGCCACTGGTGAGTGCACCGCTGCACCCGCGTGCTGCTGCACCCGCGCCGCCCTGCCTAGCCGAGCCGCCCTACCGAACCGCCCCGCCCTGCCGAGTCGTACTGCTACTGCTGCTGCTGTAGCTAGGCCACTGCTGCTGCTCCTGCTGCTATGGCAAACCCTAATGTACTCACATTCGATGCTGAGGGTCGAGCGGTCGACTTTGAGGTCTGGGTAGATGATCTGCAGCTTTTCCTACAGTGCGATAGCAAGGATGGCCTCTCACTGTTCGATCTCACGTCTGGCGCCTCTACTGCCCCTGCTGCTGATGCTGACAGTACTGTTCGCTTGCAGTGGACCACGCACGATGCTGCTGCCCGCCTTGCTGTGCGTAGTCACCTACCGTCCACTGAGCGCGCGCACTTTAGTCAGTACAAGAGTGCTAAGACTCTGTACGACGCTGTAGTTGCACGCTACTCCTCCCCTGCCACTGCTGCCCTTAGTCGCCTCATGGTGCCGTACCTGTTCCCTGACCTCGCCGCCTTTGCTACAGTCGCTGACCTTATTACACACCTCCGCACTAGTGATACCCGCTACCGCGCTGCGCTTCCTACTGAGTTCTGCGCCCAGAACCCCCCCCCCCCCATGTACATCACCCTCTACTACCTAGTCACCCGGCTCCCTGACTCCCTTCACTCGGTCAGGGACCACTTCCTCTCTGTTTGCCCCACCACACTCACCGTTGACCTCCTCGAGGAACGCCTCCTTGCAGCCGAGAAGAGTATAGTCGCTGTAGGAGCCTCTCATGGTGACCCTCGTGCCTCTTTCTTTGAGGGGTGCTCCCCCGTCCCCCTTTTGCCCTCTGTTGCCTCTGGTGCTGCTGTCGACCTCGTTGGCACCGAGTCGGTCGGCGCTGCGTCTACTCCTAGAGGGAGGCGCCGCAACGGCAAGGGCAAGGGGGGCAAGGGCGCTGGAGGAGCTGGCGGGGGCGGCGGTGGTGGCGGTGGAGGCGGCGGAGGGGGTGGGGGTGGGGGTGGTGGCGGGGGTGGGGGCTTCGGTGGCGGCGGTGGAGGTGGAGGCGGCGGCGGCGGTGGGGGTGGAGGCGGCGGCGGCGGCGGCGGCGGAGGTGGAGCTGGTCGGGGTGGAGCTGTGCAGCGGGGAGAATTTGGTGGTGGTCAGCGCCAGCAGCAGCAGCGCTCTCGTGAGACTCCGTCGCCCCAGCAGCTTCGTGAGTGGTACACTGCACGCCAGCGACCTGGGGGTGTTGGTCCCTGTACCTACGTCCTGCGTACAGGCGACCGCACTGGGGAGCCGTGCGGCGGGCCGCACGCCACCCTGCGCTGCTTTGGCCGCCTGACGGACGCCTGGCGTGTCCAGTTCCCTCACGCCACTGAGATCCCTCGCTGGGGTGATCTGCTCAAGTCGGGTGTAGCTATCTTTGATCTTGACTGTGATGCTATTCTTGCTGCCATGTATGTTGTGTTTACTAGTGCTGAGGGTGACTGTTACCTGTGTGTTCCACCTGACCCGGGCATTGAGGCCGCTGCTCTAGGTGCTTGTGAGTCTGCTCTCTCAGGTACCGCGTCGGCTCAGGTTTTGCACACCTTCACCCTCGACTCGGGTGCTTCCCGCTCCTTCTTTCGAGACCGCACCACACTCACGCTGCTCAGTCAGCCGGTTGCAGTCTCCCTGGCAGACCCCTCTGGGGGTCCTGTCCTTGCCCACTACTCCACTGTCCTACCATGTCCGGCGGCCCCTTCTGGATCCCTGTCGGGTCTTTACCTCCCCTCGTTCTCTACGAACTTGGTGAGTGGTGCTGACCTACAGGATGGGGGGGTTGACCAGTTCACTCCTGCGAGTCAGCGAGTGACCCACTGCACGTGTGCTCGGACGGGCCGATACTTGGCCACGTTTACCCGTCAGCAGGGGTCGAGCCTGTACACACTGACTACCGAGTCTCCTCCGGTTCCTGCGTCTGGCCAGGTAGCTGCGTCGGGTCAGGTGTTTGCTGCAGCGTCCAGGTCTGGTCCTGAGTCTGCCCCCTGCTCGTGTCGTCTCCTGTCTCACCAGACTCTCCTCTGGCACCACCGCCTTGGTCACCCCTCCCTGCCTCGTCTCCGAGGCATGGCCTCCCGTGTCCTTGTCTCTGGTCTCCCCCGGTCCCTCCCTCCCCTTCCCCCGGGGCCTGCCCCTACCTGCGTTCCCTGCGTCGAGGGGCGGCAGCGCGCCGCTCCTCACTCCTCCGAGTTTCCTCCGACAGAGGCTCCGCTGCAGACTCTCCACATGGACGTGTGGGGCCCAGCCCGCGTCCGTGGACAGGGTCACGAGCGTTACTTCCTGCTGGTGGTTGACGACTACTCGCGTTACACCACGGTCTTCCCCTTGCGCTGCAAGGGTGAGGTCACTGAGGTGTTGATCGCCTGGATCCGCGCCGCCTGTCTCCAGCTCAGAGAGAGTTTCGGCTCGGACTTTCCT